ATGTTGTCTGTGGATTCTTGGTTTTGCCATTCTAGTTGCTCTGTCTGCTTCTATGGCAGGGACAGGAGGGTTGGAATTCAGGGAAATTAAAACATTTTGCTGCAGAAGCTGCTATCTCATAGTGATGATTTTTGTATTGCTCTTTCCTGCCAGCCCTCCACCACTCACATTCACACAAATACTGACCGTCTTGTATCCTTTGAGTGAGGAATGTCCTTCCTTCCCTATGTCCCTCCATCCTACAAACTTCTGCTTATATTGCACGGCCTTGCTAAATGTCAGCACCTCCAGGAAGCCTTCCCTGATACCTGCCCCCAGGTGAGATCAGTGGCTTCCTCTTCTGTGTCCCGCAGCAGGTTGAATGTGCCTCTGTTACAGTACGTTTCATACCACTGACTTTCCCACCTGGACGGTGAGCATCTCAAAGCAACAACCTTGTCAATTCCTCCTGCCTTTAGTGCCTGGCCCAGGACCCCACTCAAAGTAGACACTTATGAAAGTCCTGTTGCGGGCCGGCCCATGGCTCACTCGGGAGAGTGCGGTGCTGATAACACCAAGGCCCCGGGTTCGGATCCCATATAGGGATGGCCGGTTCGCTCACTGGCTGAGCGTGGTGCTGACAACACCAAGTCAAGGGTTAAGATCCCCTTACCGGTCATCTTTTTTTTAAAAAAAAAAAAAAAAAAAGAAAGTCCTGTTGCATGATTAGATTTTACTGGATGCTGTTAGCCCATTTCAGAGCAAGTTAGTGGCTGAATTAATATGACTATTGCCTTACATATAAAGTGCACTATAGTTTACAAGAGGCTTCCCTGCACAACACATGTCTTCTCCCTCTGGTGCACTCGCAGTACATTACTCTCTTTTGTTTGTGCATTTGTTTATTAATGTATCTCCACCTGTCATACTGTGAGCTAATCAAATGTAGGGACCTAGTCTTCTTCATCTCAGTAGTTAGCCCAGGCCTGGCATAGAATAGAGACCAGGAAGGGTCTGCTGCATGCAGGAATGAAAGTTGCATTCCACCGTGTCCATCCCAAGCTGGACTTTCCCACAGAGCTCAGTGGGTCCTGAGGTCCCTGACTTGAGGTCAGCATGAAGCACGCAGCTTCCCCGAGACTCCCCTGAGCCCAGTGAGAAACATCATTCACGCTGTCTCTGGCCCTATCTCTCCCAGCCTTCATGCTTCTGATCGGCGGCATCGAAGTCGGCCTGTCCCACTTCCCCTTCTTTGCCTGCCTCTCATCGGAGTTCCAGCTGGTCAGCTCTGTCCTCGGCTTCAGCTACTCTCTGATCTGGTAAGACGACTCTGCCCGCCCGCCCTCCCTCGACTCCTCTGGCCATGGCTGACTCTGGACAGTGGGCTGCAGGTGATCCAAGAGCTCCCCTTGGAGGACACCTTTGTACAGAGCTGAGGCCCAGTGGGCAGAGGTGACTTGTCCAATGTCCCTTTGCAGCCCCTTCTTGGGACTGCATTTGAGGCTTCCGAAGGTCAGGCCAGCATTCTATCTGATTCACACAGGCTGCTCATGATTAGAATATTCCTAGAAGTCAGGGATTTAGGAAAATTCATTTCCGTAAACTGCCAAGGGTCCCATCGGGGGAAGCAGGAGTCCATCTGATGCTTCTTCTCAGAGCTGACATAGCTTCTCTTGGGACACTTTGAGAAAGTTCACATGCCTCGGCATGGCATTTGGGGCCATCACCGGCTGGCCTCTCCCTTTCTCCCCATCCCACAGCAGTGTCTACTACACACCTCCAGCCATACAAGACTCCCACATTGTGTCATCTGTCCACTTACTCGTTCAACAACCATTCCGTTACATCCCCACTAGGAGCCAGGACTACACTGGAAACAAGACAGACCCCTGTGCACCATGTGTTCTGGTCTCTGTGTCTGTTCCTATTCCCATATGTATTATCTCCCCTCCCCCCAAGTCTAGTGACAAATATATGCTCCTGCTTCATAGACAATTGCTCCTACCAGACAGAACACCTTGACTGTGTTGAGATCTGTGCCCTCAGCACCAGACACCAGACCTGGCACTGAGCTCGCCCCAGGGAACACTGTTGATTGAACGACCCCAGGAACAATTCCTCTCTCCAGCCACTGAGGCTCATCTCCTGACCTCCAACTCTCTTGCTGGGCTGTTTCCCCCCTCCAGCACTTTCTAAGGGGCAAGGGTCCTCAGGTCCAGTCTCTCAGGAGCAACTGTCAGGGGGCGTGCAAACAACTAACACACCAATGGCTACAATTCCAGAGCTTGTAAGTGACTTGCTCTCTAGACACTTAAATGGAGAGCATGCAGGGTTAGACATGGTAATATTGTCTCATC